TTGGAGCCCAAGTGAGGTATCACAGGGAAAATGCCAAGAGGGCAAGACAGGAGCACGGAGGCAGCTCTGGGAAGTGGCAGGTTGGAGAGTAGAGGGGATGTGATCCTCTGGGACAAGGAAATGGAAAGGGCTCAGTGAGACCTCAGTCTGGCACAGGGAGGCAGAGACCTCACCACGAAATGCAAGTGTCGTCATCGGAGGAGGAGGGCCAGGAGGAGGCAATACCGTGAAAGCCTTTTCCAGAGCGTGTCCTGCTTGTGCTTGACAGAAGCGGGAACAAAACTCATCTGCTTCCTTCTCTCTCTGCCCTCCCTTACTCAGACCCAGGCCACCACAATGGCGCCTGTAGCCATTTCTAAGACACTGCCCATGCATGAGACTGGGCTACAGCAGGGCCATGGTACAACACTCCTCGCAAACACACCACTCGATAGTCACAGCTCTGTGGTGATGCTGCAAAAGAAACACGAACAGCAGTAACCGATGCGGTAAGAACAAAACGGGAGGTGGAGGTGGGTAAATTTGCACAGGCACTCAGCTTCCTTCATGTCATAACTTAAAGCAGATATGTGGGTTTTTTCCCTTTTCTTGATCCCTTTCAGTAGGAGCTCAACGAGGAAGATCCAAGATTACTTCTAGGCACTGTGCAAAAGGGAAAAAACCTCAACATCACTGGGGAAGGATAAAAATCACAAATTAGTTCATCGAGTTGCAGTGCTGATAATAGCAAAAATCAGCTAAGAGAGAAGGGGTACTATGACAAACTGCCTTCATTATTAGAGGCTCCCCTGTGTCCTGTATTATTATTAAGTACTGACAATGTGCTCCGCATGGTTTGAGTAACAAACAAAGGCTGTCCCACCCCAGAGAGCTCACAATCAAACGGAGACATAAAACTGGAGCCTACTGTGCAGAGCTAGAGGAAAGAGACACTTGAATCTTTTTAATTATTTTGTTTTCTATCTACAGTAAACAAACTTTTCCTTGGAAAATGCATTTGCTTCCAAGCTACCACTGAATGGCAAGAACCACCAATTTTAAGTGTCCCCAAAAATGTTGAACACAGGCACTTTGCTGAGCGTGGATTAAAATACCTGGCAGTCCTGCTAGGTTTATGTGCTTTTTAAAAACATCAGACTCTCTACCTTAGCCTTCTCCAACTAATGATCTCTTCAGATTTCCCTCATTTCTCTGCCCCCCCACCCTGGTATGATTTTTCTTCAGACTCAGAAACCTCGAAACCCACTTCTCTTCCCCTGCAGAGTTTATATAGTCCAAATAGCTTCATTACTGTGACAGTATGAAAGCCCTTCTGCAACACAAACAGCCGATGACTTTTTCCTGCAGTTCCTGCCTGGAGAGCTCTTCAGCTTGTTCCCTTTATTTCAGACGAGTGAGGAGGTTGGAATGCCACTCACTGGAGTCTTTGGCCTATAAAATCTACAATACCTACTAATGGCCATGGGGTTTTGTTCACATTAAAACCCCACTCAAAACACTGAGCATGAACAGCCTGATGGGAGGCAGCAGGGCTTTAAAAGCCCTCGATTGTACCCAACACCAGGCGTAAAAACGAACGCCGAGTTGCGCACTCGGCCCATCTCTTCCTTTCGGTGGGGGAACATGTAAGACCACCAGGGTCTGGCAATTTCATCACCTTCAGCTCTTAATGGGCAAGGAGACATTGATGTAACGGCCTCCTGAGAGGTCCTCTTCCCCAGGGCACGCGCTGAGGCTCCGGAAAAGCAGACCTTACCTGTCGGACTTCCAGGCGGTACTTGAGGATGGGATCCACAGCATCGGGTTCCTTCTGTGTCCACTGCAAGACGTAAGAGTAATTCTTGGATTGCTTCTGGCTCAAGGTGGGGTTGGGAGTGTCATAGTAAAACTCTGGGCTGTAAGCTTTTGCTGGAGGGGGGCGGAAAAAAAAAGAGGGAGGAAAGTAAAAGAGTGGGATCAAGGGGAACATAAATTACAAAGAGATGTGCTCAGAGTGGAACAGCTCCACTTACCCAGCTCACTTGCCTTTGACATGACGGACACCTTTACTATTGTGGCTGGTGTTGCACTGACGTGCCATCATTTTCTGTGTATCACTACCGCTTTCACAGCCTGAAATACTGGGAGGTTTAGCAGCCCTGCAACACCAGTGGGGCATGACTGACACTAGAGAAGGTGGGAACAGCTTCAGTTCTCCAGCTGGAACCAGCTTTAATCTTTTCTATCTTGCTTTGTACTTTAGATTGAGGCAACAGCTTTAAACTGGCATTTCTCCTGTTTCATCTGCTACTTTACGGAGTCGCCTGCTAACAAACCCTGAGGAACAATCATTTGGCCAGTAGGTCATAGGAAAAGTGTTATTTATCACACAGGGACCATGGCATCAAAAGGGAGACCTTGCTCCTTCTGCATCTCCCCTGCCTTGGCAACACAGTGCTCCAGCCTCTTTGTAACATGACAGTCAACTCAGCAGCAAAGGGGATGCTGACCTCAGCCTGGGTAAAAACCACGGGAGCTTTTGCAGGGGCAGAGATGTCTTTTCTAAACCCACGTCTCCCCTTAAAAACAGAGGGCAGCAGGAGGAAGGGAAACACAGGAGAAACAATGTACCATGGAGAAACTGGATGGTTCAGAGAAGAAGGGATTTCCCATCATTTCTCCAGCCGCTGCTGTCCTGAACCACTAATAAACAGGATTTGAAGGTTTCAGCCGTGCAGCCCCGCAGCTACTGGACTAAGGCACAGGGCCCAGAAGCAAATCGAAGTCTTACCCACAACTGGTTTTGCCCTATTTGAAATCACTTCATGTCACCCTGTGCACTTCAATTTTTGGCCAGTCCTGTCCTGGGCCAGGCAGGAGCTGGACCTGAACCAAAACTCTCATTTCTGGGTTCAGGTCCAATCTGGACCTGCACAGACCAGAAATATGCTTGGGCAGCAAGGGATGCTGGAGAGCAGAACAGACATAAACACCATCTCCCCAGGCAGTCTGCTGCACCTTTCCGCTTGAATCACAAGCCCTGCCATTCTGTGTGGTTGTAATTGGGCTCAAAATGATTCAATGTTTATTTTTTATGAACTCAGATGGATAATATTGATGTTTATTTCCAAGTCCTTTTTTTCTTATTATTTTTATTGACTTGAATTTTTGCACAAGCAAGAAGTTCAGAACCACCTCAGAGACTAATTGCTGTTTATTCAACTTGTATTGACTGTGGAAGTCAAGCTTCATAATGGATTCTGAAATAAAATCAGAACTGATGATAATCGTCATCTTGCATGATATTAATTCCTTATTAATTGACTCCAAGATGGAAATGGAAGCTCAAAAAAAAGTGCCTTCTAATGGAAATGCAGCACATCAAAATACTTTTGGAACTTCTTTCTGGAAACTTTTACCATTGCTGGAAAGTTTTGTCTTTTGCTTACAGCTGATGGGAGAAGGCTATTCACTCCATCTTTCAGGGCTTTTCTGTGCCTGTAGCTAGTAGGAGAGCAGGTGTTGATCAGTATGGGCTGCCTTGAGAACTTGCTCAAGGGGAGTGGGTTGGATGTCTTGCTATCCTTCCAAAACATCTCAGAAAGCTAATCTCCCATCCATAGAAGAAGGTAATCCCATCCTGGGCAGGTTTATGTATTCTGTTTCCAGAATATGTGAACACCTCACAGTCACAAATGAGTCATTGCCTCCCTGTCAGATAGGAAGCTTTATTGTCCTTCCTTCACAAAGAAACAGGAAAAAAAAGAGACTATGCCATTCCCCCGCTCTACTCAGGAAGGCGGTGGCCCATGGGAGTTAAAACTCCAGTGGTCTTGAGTCCAAGTGGAGCAGTCTAGCCATCAGATTATTTTTTAGGTTGCTTGACAGGTTCAGAATGTCTAATTGATTTGCAGCTGTCCAGGAGACAGACAGAGATGCCTCGAGCTGAAAAGCCACCATCAGTGCCTTGGAAACAGAGAAGGGATGCAGGAAAATAAACGCTTGTTGCTTTCCTGATGAGTACTCTCCAGGGATGAATGTTGCTTTCTGCTGAGGGGATTTTATCTCATGGGGCACAGTATGGCACACTGGGTGGCAATATGTATTTGTTACTACTTCCAACAAGAAACTCAGATCCTGGGAGCATTCCCAACCTTGCTAGGGACAAAGTTTGCCGTGGTGGCTCATAGTGGGATATGGTTTGCCATCATCTAGTTAGTGATGTGACAGTTGCAAGCATATGAAGAAAGGGTAGAGAGACCCTAAGCAAAATCCACTGCCAGACAAATTACAGGAGATCCCAAGGGGTGACAGCAAGGTCCTGAAAAGGAGCCCAAACAGGAGAAGTGGTTTGGGCTTCCCTATTCCAAGAGCATCTCAGAGTTACAGCATACCTGAGCTCTTCCAAACCCTGGGAAAGATCTGCTTCAAAATCAGTCCTCTCTGGGTGTTATTTATTCTCATTTGTTCAGCCCTGACTTGAAAAGTATTATAAATTGGCCCTGGACTGAAAACCCAGTATTTTGGCTGAATTTACTGCTTATTAAGGCAACTTCATCAGAGAGCTTGTCTAGAAACTGGTGCCCAAGTCAATTCTGGGGTCATGGGAAAAGCAGATTTAATGATCAGCTGGAGAGGTTGGGTCAGATATGTGGTTTTAGATGCTATAACTCTGCCATCCCTCTTTGCAGTTGCAGGTGCTGGAGAGGAGTCCTGTGCCTGCTGGATTCACAGAAAACTATGAGCAGCAAATACCCCAAGTACCGGTATCCATTCCCAGATCATGTTTGTCCTAGCAGGCATCGTGACACAAAGACAACCAGGAGACATAGGGAAGGTACAGGAATATATAATACAGTTTTTGTTCGTTTGTTTGTTTTTAAAGGGGAACTTAGATGGTTTTGAAGGCTGCTGAGGAGGATGTAAAGCCTTTCACTCCACCTATGATACAGGTTGTCCAAGCTCGAAAGCTGATGACAGCCTCGAGTTTAAGTCCTGTATCTTTCAGGCAAGTGGTCAAACACTGCTAAAATGTACCAGTGGCTGCCACTGACTGCCCCAGGTCCACCACAGACTTGAAGGACTGCCTGAATGATGGAGGCAAATCTCCTTGTTGGCTTATGGAAAGTCCCTTTTGAACACAATGCTGTGCACAGAGGATGCAGTAGATGTTGTTTGTACTGGCCCCAGCTTATTGGGAGCGAGCTTCCCTCCTCCGTGACCCCATCCAACATCTCACTCCCACGTGCACTCTGTGACTTACCAGACACCTGGAAGAGGCAGGTGGAGACCCCCACATCATTGGAAATGCTGCACTCGTAGCTACCGCTGGTCTCCCGGCTGACACTGTCCACCTTCAGGTCCGAGTAGTCCTGCTGGTCTGCCAGGGGCTGCGCCAGAAGGGTCCCGTTGAAGCGCCAGACGGAGGTGGCCACCTTCATGGGGCTGCCCTTCAGCATGGTGCAGCGCAGAGTGACGCTGCGCCCCACACCCTGGCGCACGTCCTGGAAGGCCGGCTCCACCACAGGGGGGACTGGAGACCGAACAGAGCAACAGACGGGACACCATCAGGGAACAGCCGTCTTGCTCAGCACAGTCACCCCGGTAGTGCCTCTGGGGAGACAAACACCTATGATTTCCAAAAGGATATTTATTTTCTAGTGGGAGCCAGGCTTCATCAAACCAAAAGAAGCGGTAGTCATCTGACAACCCCTTCTGACTGGGCTGGGGCCACCTCCCTCCCATTAGGTAGAGGTGGCCTTTATCAAGCACTCATCCCACAGTGAGACACTGCCTGGAGAAGCTGCCAACCCTGCTCGTCCATGGGGGAAGTGCAACTCCAGCAGCTGAGCGCCACAGCTTAAATTTAACCCTTGGATCTTAATCAGAATAACCATAGTCCTCATGCCCAACATAAACTGCACTCTCTGAGCAGGCAGGTATGCTCCCAAGCTGTTACATTCGTCTTCTTTTGGTCAACGTCTGACAAGGTATTCAGGGACACCATGTTCAGAGGGAGGGATACACACTGGCTGTCCCCACTGAGCACAGACCTCAAGGGGTGTGAAGGGGCCTCTCCCAAATACATCAATACAACATGTCAGGGACTGGCTACAGGGATCTTCGGTCCTATTTTTATCTCTGGCATCAATTCCCCAATTTTGAGAGGTGAGTCACACCTCTGCATATCAGCTTCTCTGCCAGTAGTGTGAGAACGGTGACGTGTGGCCACCTCCTTAGCAAAGGGAGGCTACTAAGTCTTGCTCTTCAGCATTTCTAAAAATTAACAGGAACCTCATGATTTGGGCATAGCTGAGGCAGAGCAAGGAGAGAGTCTGGATTGGTATTGTTTGGGTTACCCCTTATTTAATGTGATGGCAGAGGATTTCAGTCTCCAGAGCCATCTGATGGACATGTTTCACTTGCAATAAACTCCTAATTAAAACACTACCTCATGGGAATAACCAGAAGCTCTCCCTCTAAAATGAGAAAGGGTTTCTGAACACAAAACAGCTTTTAGCCTGAATGTAGAAGAGGGAGAACAGTTTTGTAGCAGCTCCAGCACAATCACAACTCATCTCCTCCAGGTTCAAAAGCCCCTGCTCTTCCACAGACAACTTCGAGGCACTACGGATCTACAAAGCACCTGCCTCCTCTAAAGGTCTGCAGCGCTGCCAAGCACAGCCATGCCCCAAACCCTGCAACACACAGCATCTACAGGGCCGCAGACACAGCTCCACCAGGAACCCCGGGTCACACAGCGTCCCTGCTGCCCTGAACACAGCCGTGCCCGGAGGGCTCCAGCACACCAGTCTCTCCCTTCCCGCAGCCTAACTCCAGCAAGACCCACCCACAGCTCTGGAATACTAGTGACATCTCCATCTTCACCACAGATGAAGGTGGTGCACGCACCACCCCATAGGCCTGCACGCACAGCGTCCCCTCTCCCAGGGTACACAGGCGGCCTGCGACCACCCCCCCGGCAGTGAGCCCTGGTTTGACAGTGGCTGATGATTGTTTTCTCCGTACCCATTCTCAGCTCTCAGCCTCTGGGCCCTTCGCTGCACTGAAGTAGATTAAAAGCAGCCCTTGACTGAGTTCACGTTGCCGTGCCGAGTGGCATGGTCAGCTCATTACGGATGGCTTTGCGAGCAGTGTGTCTCTGCGGGTGCTCCAAGCGCTGACTTGCCTTTGGCTCGCACGTCTCCCACCTCGCGGTGAGAATAATGTGAGAAGTTGTTTGATTAGACCTAGTGCCATGAATGTGTCATCGCCATCCCTAGCTGCTATCCCATTTCTTGGGTCACATCTGCTCCCTAATTGAAGCCAGTGGGGTCTCACATTATAATCAAGGCCAGCTGGTGATGTAAAGGGGGGGGGCAGGGAGTAAAAAGGGGAGAGAAAAGAGAAAGGAAGAGTTAAAAAAAGATGGCACGGCAGCTCCAGATGTACTCAAAGCAATCCATCTTATGAGGAGGAGAACAGAGGGGTGGGAGAGCAGCTTCCCTCGCTGCATCAAGCAGCGCCCATGTCCGGAGCTGGGACAGAGGAAGAGAAAAGGTCTGAAAGAGGACAAAGTGCCCTGCAAGGACACACACTGCAAGGAAAGGGCCCCCTGAGCCTCACTGAGCGAGCGTCTGGGGCTGGAAAAGGGTCACAGAGGAGCACGGCTGGGACAATCCAGATGCTTCCTTGGGTCACAGGAACAGGAGGGCAGCCAAGGATGCAGCAGATATTTAATCTTCTTCAGCTGGGAAATGGGATTTACTTGATTTGCAGTGGGGCAGGCTCTGGGCCTATGTTATCACTTTGCGAAGGGAATGTCTGAAAGTGCTTATACAGTAAAAATTGACCACATTTTCTCCTCCTGTCTCTGGCACTAGGAAACACCCAACAAGCATTAACTCTGCAGGTAGTCCTGGAGCCCCTGGGTTCTCTGGAGAGAGCGCAGGTCACCCCATCACTGCAAAGGATGCTTGCAGTACTACGGCAAGGGGCAGCTGTTGCCGAAGGCTGCCCGTGGGTATGAAAGCAAAAAAAATGTCAACAGAAATTACAGAGCCAGCTCTGGCCCCCAACACCTACTGGGCAGCCCACACTTGTTCATGTAGGTTATACACAAAAGGGAGACCACCACCAAGGCAGGGATTCAGACTGCAAATCCTAGCAGATAACGACACAGCCTTTTCTCATCCCTGGCTTAAACGCAAATGAAAGCTTGTTTAAATGAGCCGGTCTTGCTACTCCCTCGAACTGCGAACCGAACAGCTCAGGTACACCCAAGATGGTGACTGTCTCGGAGCAGAGACCTCCAACATGACTCCCGTGCAGACACCTTTAGGGAGCTGCAGGAAATGATAACGGATTTCCAGGTGCCTCTAAAGCCCTCAGGGAAGCAGCATCCTGCTGGCTCTAAGGGGGCTGTTCTGCTCAGTACAGCATTACCTGGCCAACCTGGCTCACCAAGCTGCCATGGTGCTTTTTCGAGAGCTTGGGTACCAGCCCCAGTTTTTAGCCCAGTTCCAAAGAATTTCCTTGCCCAGAAGCTCCTCAGATGCCTTTCCGTGTCTCCCCTGAACTCCAGCGCATGCAGCTGAAGTGCACTTTTACGCAGCAGCCAGGGTGCAGGCGGCAGGTTGCTACGCTTCAAGGAGGAGGTTAGAAAACCTCTCTGCACACAGAGGGGCTTCGGGATCCCCTGGTAAGAAACACAGCAAACAAATATAGACAATTATTGTTTTCTCTAAGCACACAGCTTAACTCTAGAAGAGCTAGCTGGCAGGAGGAGTGCCCGTTCTGGGCAGCGATGAAGGAGCAAGGCTCCTCCAGCAACCTTGTTAAGATGCAGCTGCAGAGAACACAAGGCAGGGCAGCCTGCCTTTGCAGCAGAATTATTGCGCAACAGGAGAAAACATAATCACTCACCTGCTCGTTAGGAGCAAATCGAGTCAGCTGAACAGGCAACCTACTCCAGCGTGCCAGGCACTCTAAAGCAAAGCCAGGCTTGTAGGCAGCTCCCTTGCTGTGAGCCAGAGCAGATGCTCTGTGCTGAAGGGTTGCTAAGCCATCATGGTGCTCACGATGATGAGGGGCAAGCGCGAGGGAAGCGTAACAGAGAAACGTCAAGTGTCAAGGGGTGTTGCTTTGTGCCCCAATAACCTCCTAATTTCTTGGTTTCACTGGAAATAACCAGGACTGAAATGCTTTTCCTGCTAGAGGAGTGAGAAGTGCACAAGCTGTTGAGCTGTGGTCAAGTCTGTAAGTATTTGTTTTAAGTCTGTTTTTATTTTAGCCTTGAGGAAGCTCTTCCTTACAAGAGCCCGCTTGCAGGAGAGACCACAGTCTCCTTGCACTCTTACTGTGCTGTCGTGCTGGGGTGCAGCTCAAGAAGGGGTACTCAGTGATCCCTGTGATGCTGTCTGATTGCTGCAGGTTCCTATCAAATTCAGATGCCTCCAGAAGGCAGAGATGTTTCTTCACCAACAATGCAGTCAGAACATCCCAGATGGCAGTGATGTACTATGGAAAGTTTTTCACTTGTGGGGTAAATACAGAAAAAAACAAAAAAGTGAAAAAAAATTTTTTTCACTTGAAAAATTGGGGATGTTTTCATGAGGCTGCTCAATCTGATATGGATGAAAGGCAAAGAAAGGCTCATATTGGAGTGGACTGATGCACAGAAATCAGTGACAAGCTTAAACACAAACCAGCATCTGCAGAACAGGGGAACACTGAGTGAACAGACTTGGCATTAAGAACTCAGGCAAGAATTGAGAAGGTCAAAAATCCTAGACACCACAGCACAAGACTACTATGCAAGACACATGCAAAGTCTGCTTTCCCACCGTAGCTTGAGGTCTGTGAACAGCACATCCTGGTCAATTCCCAAATACTGGCTCATTTTTAAAAACGGCTGTCTGTCAGAACTGAGGAGCTCACTCATAACCTGCTTTCTGACTCATAGGCGGCCCTTTCCCCGCTGTAGCCACCCTGACCAGGGGCTAACAACAGCCATCTCTGTAGCTGGTCGGCTGCCCGCATCGTACTGCTGGACTATGCGGCTACCATGGGCTGTTGCACTCTCCTTTTTCTACAGGGATTTGCTTCCCACAACGCTCCCTCTGCTGCACAGAGCACCACGGCGCAGCAATGTCCAGGTGGAAAAAGAGGCGCAAGCAGAACGACGGCTTGCCCAAGGCCACGTGAACCGGCGGCATCAGGCAGAAGCGGCGCAGGAGTCCTGTATCCTGACCCACACTTCAGTCCTTAGCCCAGGCTTCCTCCCCTGTGACAAACACCCTCTACTCTACCCTCCAGAGTCAGTCACCATTTACATGTTTATTTAAATCTAGAAAGTGCAACGCGTAATACAAATGATGAAAATAGCAAGTCTTGCTAGATTAGAGAGCAGCTCTATCTTCAGCAGCTCTCATCCCACTCTGCTGAATGACTCCCTCCGAGCTCAGCCACGCAATCACAGCGCCAGTGGGACTCCTGCTTGTAGGCTTCACCTTATTCACAGGTGAGAGCTAA